TAAATAATTTGGGTTGGGTTAGATGTAAATGTTGAGTTAGCGTTATTAAGTTTATATTAACATTGTTAGCGACCAGCCATTTAAATTTAAAGTTCTATAGCCTACTGAAATATTTTAACCAACTTCTCTTCAGGCAAAATTGATTAGATTAGATGTTCTTCTTTCTTTCTTTCTTTCTTTCTTTTTTTTTTGGCAGTTACCCAAAAACACATTTATTTTAGTCTATAAGAGACCACACTGCTCTTTTTCTGAGAATAATCATGGTTAACTTATAAAGATGGGCATTTACAATGCATTTTCAAAGCATTTCCCTTTAATGGGAAACTTAGCTTCACAGAATCCAAACATTAAAAAGTTTAAACATTTTTCTAGGGGTTAAGTTGTCACCATAAGACAAAACAAAATCTAGCATAAGTTAAGGAAATCCATTCATACTTCAGGTCCTGCTCTCCAGGAACCAGCATTGTTATATTTCCATTAGCAGAATCTGATCTAATTTAGTAATTATTCTTCCTTCTGGTGTGATTTCCGACTCAGTGACATCTTCCAATACCATATTGACGAAATCATCAAATCCTAGAAGCTTACCATTAATTTCTTTATCACTTTTCATCACAGTATGAATCCTTGATCCTTTGCATTTGTCCACAAGCTCTAGAGGAAGCAGCTGTGACTGGTTGGTGGTAGCCTTAGCTGCCATGGCTCCGGGGAAGTCAGATGTTATTCTTTCTGAAGCTTTCTTCCTGGAGCCCCTCAACCCCTTCTTTCTGTTTCATGTGTTTGTGCTGGATTATTTCTCCTCATTCTCTCTTGTGTGTGTAACTGCTTTGTTGGATTTTTAATGCCCACATTTAGAATTTTTCATATCTAACTAAGAGTTTTGATTTTTTTAGCTTTGCTTGGTTATTCTGGTAACTGAATATCTCTTACTAATTTTTATTACATTTATTCGGTGAATTCTTTATACTTGGTTTGTATTTTGTGTGGGGGTAATTCTAATTTCTAAAGTCTTTGGGGGAGGTGGTATTAAATTTTATTTCTGCTAACTCAAGTTCTGTCGTTTGTTGTGTGATGATTGATATGTTTTATTCAACGTAATATTTCCAAATGCTCTTGAGAGAATTTGTATATTGTTCTTTGGGACCCAGAGATACTGACCAACTTGAAGCTACCTTATTTCCTATCCAGGGTATTAGGTTTAACAAGAATATTTGCTTCCAACCTCTGGTCTTGGCTGTTACTGGTATTTACCTTCTGAGTAGCACTGTGTATAAAATGGGCTGGTCTTATTTCAGCTTACTTTCACATATTAATTTTTTTAGGGGTATTTAAAGGTTCCCTTACTTTCTGGAACACCAACAATATGTTAGCAATTGTTTTACTATATTTTTTGGTAACCTGTAGAGTATCTATTGTATTTAGCAAAGAAATCTTTATCAGATTATCCATTTGCTTTAGTACTGGGAGTGGAAATTGGTGCGAATAGATATCAAAGTAACATATTTTATAAATACAGATTTCCTTCTACTTTATCATTTTGCCTGCCAATTTGCACATGTGTGCTTGACTTCATATAATTCAGTCTTGGCTTATTTTTGTGGACATAGTCTTTTCAAATTTAAATTTTAATAAATATTCCACAAATTTTAAATTTGTATGTTATTTATTTAATAGAAAGTATTAATATGTGTTTTCTGTTAGTTATTCTGGAAATGGTAAAGTTAAGAGAAAATGTAGTTTTTTAAAATATGGGTTGAAAGCGCTGAATGTTCAGTAGATTGAACTGAAGTAGAATTTATATCTCAACTGAGATAGAGACCCAAAACAATTTGGTTTATCTGTTTTCTTTCTTTTTTGTAAAGATTTATTTATGCATGCAAGAACTGGGGTATAGGCCAGAAGTGCAGGGGCTGAGAAGATTCACCAGAGACAGAGTGGGAATCAGAACAGGCAGATCTATTGAAATCCACTGCTGAGGGGAGTAGCAGGGGGACAGGAGAGGTCTGCTGTGCCATGCTGGTCACCTCCCTGGCCTGGAATGGAACTCATGCTGCAGTGGCTGTGGACAGCTTCATAGTACCACCAGGGAGGCCCTCATGAATGAGAGATACACATTATCCACCATCAATCAGTTCCACCTATTTTCACTGCAGGCTTACCCACATTCTACTTACAGACACTGAGAAAATGTCTTTGATTTTTTTTTACCAACCTATATTTTATAGTAAACATTTACTATCCATGTACAAAGTTTGGAAACAAAAAAGGAAAAGTCTTCATATATCCTTGTATTGAGAATATAGTTAGTTAATCTGAATAGCAGATTGTATTGATAAAAGCCATTAAAGAACATAGACAAATGTAAAATTCCCTTGGAGTGAGTTATGGCCTTATAAAATTGTGCACACCAGTTTTCTATTTTAAATCCTACAATAAAATGCAGTGAGAGCTTATTTAAAGAAATCTTATAGTCATGTTCCTTGTTAAATGGGAAAAAAATAGCTATTCATACTTTATGAATACATCCTGGTTATATTTCATAAGTTAAAAGCTTTTTCAGTTTTGTAAGTAAGATAAGTACCTTCTTGTGTAAATGAACTAATGATGACTAATATAAAATACATACTGCACTGTTTTCTTGAGATTACATCTGTAAACCTACAACATGAGAAGTCGTGTTTCTGCATTTAATGACTTGAGTATAGTAGTATAATTATTTGATTCAAATTTTCTTATCCACAACATACCCTTTTTGCAGTGTTGGACATTTCCTCATTTCCTTTGCCTTTTCCATTTTTAAAAGGGTTTCTATAAGGGACTCTCTCTGGTGGTGCAGTGGGTTAAAGCACAGCACTAAGAAGCTAAAGCCACTTCTGCATGAGTTCGATTCCTGCCTGCCCCGGAGGTGATCTACATGGCTGGGCAGACCTCTCCTGATCTGCCTGTTGCTCCCCTCAGCAGTGTACTTTGTCAGTCTGTCTGTTCTGCTCCCCACTCTGTCTCTGGTGAAGCCTCTCGCTGCCTCTGGCCTGTACCCCAGTTCTGTGTGTACAAATAAATATTTTTAAAAAAGGATTCTACAAGGAAGGTTGAAAAGTGAAGGGTTGGCTGGAACAAGATGGGGTGTGGAATAAGGAGAGACACAGTTGCTTAATGAGAGGGAGGGAATAGAGGAGAGGAATTTGAGAGAGAAGAATAATTCTTAAATTGTTTTGAAACAAAATAGCTTGTATATGTACCATAAAGCTAATCTGTAAAGTTAATTTTTGGTGTAGGTTGTGAAGTTGCTTCAAAGTAATTCGTAATGTAGCTGTTCAGTTAAGTTTGAAAATTTTGCTAGGTTGAAGATGGTTGCATTGCACTCATTTTCTTTTAAATGCAGAATGCCCATTTAATATTTTCTCTCCTTCAAAGAGAGCAGATAAAGAACTTGTGGAACAGATAAAGTAATTTGTCATACTTGGAAACATGATCTGAAAGGTATGCAATCTGACAGTTGAAAAGGGGAGAGGAAGGATTAGAATGTAAAAATGGATAAGCTTTTGTTAACTCTTAATTTACCTTACTGTTTTCACTTAAAATATTGTGACTATCGGGATAGTACACATTATATATAATTATTCAAAGATGTCTCCAAATATTTTTAAAGGATTGTTGTTCTTTTGTTAAAATCTCTCATTTAGCATCAGTGATTGCAAGATTTTGACAATTCTGTAAAAATATTACTAATCTATTCTGGATTCCAAATGAACTCTTTACCAGAGGACATAAAACTTTTCATAGATTCCTTCTTTGCAGATAGGTTTAGTGACTTTTATTTATTTTTAATAGATTTATTTATACATACAAAAACTGGGTACAGGTGAGTGGATTCATCAGAGACAGAGTGGGGAGCAGAACGAACCAATTGAATGAAAGATGCTGAGGGGAGCAGTGGGAGGGTCAGGAGATGTCTGCCATGCCATATGGGTGACCTCTCTGGCTAATAGAACTCATGCTGCAGATAAGTTCATAGTGTTGTGCTTTAACTCATTGCACTGCCAGGGAGCGCCCTGCAGATGTTATTTTAACTCTTAGTCTTGTGGGTGGAATTGGCCACTTGGTGTAGAAGGCAAAATGTATATATATATAGCTCTTATTCTCCTTAAGTACATTTCTATTCAGTTTTTCATGTGAGTGATGAAACATCAAGCAACTTAGATATTTCTCATAAGACCATCTATACAGGAAAGCTTCAGAGTTGTAAACGTCATTTAATTATGCATCCAGTTATTTCTTGAATCCCTTATCTGTGTTGCTGTTGATTGAAAAATGTCCTTTATTGTAAGACCTTGAATTTTTGGAGAGATGGGACATTTTCCTTACCAATTAATAACGTTAATTTTCAGTGTTCTAAATTAGCCCCACACTTAAAAGTAATAGCCATTTGATTAAACTGTATAGCTCCAAAAGTTTTTTAGCACATTGCTGTCTCTTTCTTAGAAAATAGGAGTTTTTTTTTAAACAATTAATTACTTTTGGAATTCTTTTCCATGAGGTTCGATATTGATACAGTCTTCCTTCATCAGAAACAATATGTATTTCCTAGAAGCTTGTGTGTTTATAGGTGCTTGTGTGTTCCTAGTAAGGCAGTTGAATTTATCTTTATTCTTCTTATTCCTCTCCAGTTTTGTCAAGATCTGATTGATGTGTATCACTGTATGGGTTAAGGTATACAAACATCATGGTTATGATTTACATTGGTGTATGAATTTGTCTTTAAATGTATTGGTATGAGACAAGCCAAATATAGTCTTGAAATAGCTGTTGTGGGGACTATAGTTTAAAATAAATTTTAAATACCTTTTGTTATGGAATGAAAATGTTCCAAGTTTAAATATGCTGACTAAAAATGCTTTGCATTTACATGTTATTTTATTTACTTACTTATTTTTTTACATGTAATTAAAAAAATACTACAGGATATAAAAGTGAATTTTTAAAATATGTTTATCTTTTAGGAGAGGGTTAAATCCTCCACACAGGGTGAAATCTATCTCTATGACGACATTCACACAACAGGAAATTGAATTTCTGCAAAAGCATGGAAACGAAGTAAGTATTCTTAGAGTTTTCAATTATTTTTTGAAGGCAGTCATTTTAATATTTAAAATTTACATGGAATGGTGAACTTAGCTCTTTTTGTATTGCGTATTTAGATATTTTAGAGTTCCTGTTTTAATAATCTGTTAAGAATTAATGTGCGCTATCTAAGTATGTTGCTTTAAACCTGAGACATACCTTAAACATATCTAAACTTCATTGATTTTAAATGGAAAAGACTTTTTTGGTGGACATCTGGTAGTAGAGTAACTGACCATTAGTCTTTTCTTTGAAAGAGCAAGAAAGAGGGAATTTCACAAGCATTTCCTTTCAAAGCAGCAGCTCTCTGCCTTCCTTTCTTCTTTTCCTAATAAACCCGTCCTTTTAAAATGTAAAGAATAAAAGACCAAGAAAGAGAGAATTGGTTTTGTGTTTACTATATAGTAAACTTTTGTTAGGCTGTTATTTGATCAGCTTTCATTTGAGATTCATTCCTTCCTTTTTATTATGTTTTAATTTTAAAAGGTGCATGGAATATTTAGTATTGAGCAGGTGCTAAGTAAGAAGGCGGTGAGTTGTCTGAGCACTCAGCCTAGGCTCATGGGAAAAGGATCAAGTTAAAATTCTGGATAACTTTTTTTTCTCTCTCCTGTAATGGATTTTTAGCAATTCCATGCTACTTCTGTGGGCTTTTTTAATTTCATATTTTGCTATTAGTAAAAGTGGGGAACTTATGTTTTTCAAAAATATAAAATAGACCTGTTTTATTATCTTGTCATTATGAGCCAGTCAACCCTGTTAATTAATAACAGCTGTTATTTCACAAGGAAGTCTTATCACTTTGTTAAAAAGAAATGATTACTTACACTACTCTCATTGCATTTTTTCATAAAAGGTACAGAAGTGTTAATTTCAATTTTTTCTTTCACCTTCAGAGTGTGTTTTGCAAGCATATTTGCATTCCTTTTCTTTCTTCCTAACAATTTGATAGTAATATTTTAATCTTGTAATAGTTCATATTATTTTAAAGTAATATTTTAAACATGTTTTTAGTTCTAAAGTAGTGAAGATATATAAACTCGCAGTTGTGAAATATTTTTAAAATACTTGATCTTGAAATGTGAGCACACTTTGAAATCTCTGAATTTTGGTGATAAAGTATTTTGAGTGATCAAGTTCTGGACTGATGTTGGTACATTATTAGGAAATCTAAAGCTAGGTGAAAATGCAGAATGTTTTTATCACTGTAAGTATAAAATAATATATTAACAAATAAAAATACAATTTGAACTGTTGATAATTGCAAAGTTTGGAATTAGTCTCACATTGCAAACTTTAAATTACTTTCTTCAAAAGTTGACATAGTATGCATGATTTATATATATATAATATTTAATCTTTAAATATAGTACTTTTTCTTACATCATTGTTAATTTTGGACAGTATATGATTTCTCCCCTCAGGTGTGGTAACTGTAGTCATGTACACACATAGACACACACACCTGTCATGTACACACATAGACACACACACCTCATCCCTCAATCTGGTCAGCTTTCAAAGTTTGTCTTTGTTTGATTTTTCTATATTCCACATCCAAGTGAAATTACCCAATATTTATCTTTTTCCTCCTGGCTGACTTTGCTTAGCATTACCTTTTGTAGATCATAGTGGAAAGTCTTTTCGTTTTACTCCATGGAGGATGATGCTAGCAATGGGTTTGTCATATATGGCTTTATTGTGTCGAGATATGTTCTTTTTATCCCAAGTTTTTACAGGGCTTTTATCATAAATGGATGTTGAACTTTATCAGATAGTTTCACTGTCTATTGATGGGGTCTTTTGTTCTCCCCCTTTTTATGACTGTGGTGGATTACATTGAGGTTTGGATGTTGAACCACTTTGTGTTTTCCTGGAATAAATCCCAATTGGTCAAGGTTAATGGTTTTGCAGCATTGTTGGACTTGGTTGGCTAAAATTTTATTGAGAATTTTAACATCTGTGTTCATTAGGGAGGTTGGGTAGTTTTCTTCCTTTTTTTCTTGTAATATCTTTGTTTGGTTTTCCTTGTTAGTGTGATGTTGGCCTCAAGGCACTATCGTACATATTCGGCATGAATAGACTCAATCTGAAGATGAGTGTTTCAGGTTAAAAGCTCATTAAGTGTATCAATGACAACAGCAGTTTGGATCTGTAACCTTTGTATGGGAGTCTTAGTGTTTTGGGGCCATGTTTGGTTGTCATTGGGGGTTGTTGGCAGGTTTATGTAAGAAAGTGCTCTGGTGATGGATTACTTACAGTGTGTACAACAGAATTAGCCAGTTTCCTATATGCTTTCAGTGTTATTTCAAATTTTTTATGTATGTAATAAATATAATATGTTCATATGTGTTTGGGAAAACCTCTCTTTTGTGTTATAAATTCTCTTGCATCTGTGCTTTGCATGTTGTATTGTGAAAATATGCTGTCAAGTCCAGAACCAAGTGGGAGGAAATACTAGCTTATAAGACATCTGTAGAGGGATGCTGTTAATTGAGACCATCATTGCAGTTGGTGGCTTAGCTCATTGTGTATCTAGGAGATTTCACTTTCATTCAGAAATCTGTTAAGAATTGTTCACTCTTGGGAAATCACAAAGTAGTAGCAGCACCATTAATGGTATTTGAATCATGAGTAAAGTACACTTGTATTGGTAGCTGAGGGAAGCAAATAGTGTTATTACTGTTTATAAATGTAATGAGGATAGGTTTAATATTTGTAACCTACTATTAATTTCTGCAGTAATTTGGTTTACAAACTACTTGAGTATTACTTTAGCATTCTCAGACTTCTGTACTGTGTTTAATGGAATATATTTGTAGGTTAGGATTATAGGACATGTGCCAATATTGGTGAAATAAGCAAATAAAAAATCAATGTGCATTGTATATGGCATTTGCTAAAATGGATTTTGTTATTTTTATCTGGAAGTAAAATACTTAACAGAAAATTTCCATACATTTATCTTATAATGCTTTCTTTTGTATCATGAAATTACTTCTAAAAGATTTTAAAAGACTTCTGTGACTTCCTTATATATATTTTGTGACATCATGGGTAGTAAATTATAGTCCTGTGGTTAGAGGAATTTGACCATGGGTTGATGTTTGATTTATCAAAGTTAATGGAAGGAGGGCTGGTGAACAGTGCTGTAGATGATTGAATAAAAAGAAAATGTACAGTGATTTTATTCTGAAAGTTTTTCTTTTCTAGAAGCAAATGAACTTTCCTAATTATATTTTAGAGCTGAGAACAAAACAGTTACTGTCGCGCCCTCCCTGGTGGCGCAGCGGGTTACAGCACAGCACTAAGAAGCTAAAGTCACTTCAGCATGAGTTTGATCCCTGGCCCCGGAGGTGACCCACATGGCGTGGCAGACCTCTCCTGACGCGCCCGCTGCTCCCCTCAGCAGTGTACTTCGTCAGTCTGCCCGTTCTGCTCCCTACTGTGTTTCTGGTGAGTCCTCCCACCACCTCTGCATCACTGGCCTGTACCCCAGTTCTGTATGCATAAATAAAAAAATCTTAAAAAAAAAGTTACTGTCAGTACTTCAAAGGCATGTTGTCTGCACATTAGAAATAAAATCACAAATTGATCTGCAGTATTTGATTACATATATATGCTTGTTATAAAAAAAAAATAACCAGGATGAAAACTACTATTTTTAAAAATCCTTCTAAAATATAGATCCATGAGATTAGGTATATTTTTTCCTATTAACATTTATGATGGGTTCTTCCTTTATAATTCTTGCAGCAGAGATTGATTAATTTCTATTTTGTGTATCCTTGAGGCCCAGGATTTAGTAATGAGCAGAACAAACAATTCCTGCCCTCCTGTAAAACTGTCTAGTGGGGGAGAGAGACAATAAAAATGATGGTTTTCAATTTCAGTGGGAATGTACAAGTGTATATATCCAAGGAAGGTTTAAACCTTATGTCCATGTGAGGTTTTTTTTTTTTTTTAAGATTTATTTATTTATGCATACAGAAAAGGAGTATAGGCCAGAGGTGCAGGGGTGGTGAGAGAGAGGCAAAGTGGGGAGCAGAATAGGCTGACTGATGAAGTACATTGCTGAGGGGAAGAGCGGCCGGGTCAGGAGAGGTCTGCTGTACCATGTGGATCAACTCTGGGGCAGGGATTGAACTTATGCTGAAGTGGCTTTAGCTTGTTAGTGCTGTGCTTTAGCCCTCTGCCACCAGCGAGGGCCCCGTGTGAGTTTTTAAACTTTACATTATTGGAATTACTTGGTCTGAAAAATCAGTGTTTATGTATTTGTTTTGGTTATAATTCCTGGGCTCTGCTCCCCAGAGATTCTTACTTTGGATGTGGGGTAAGGCCCAGGAGTCTTCGTTTTTCTGGAATACCCCCATGTTATTCTGATGGCTATAGACCACCATTTAAGAAAATCAGTCTTTAGTTACTAAAGATTCCAGACTTTAAGACCGAAAACAATGTGCAGTCTATAGCTTCAGTACCTTTAATTAACAAATTGCATCCCTTGGGGCAAACTTCTTCTCTTCTTCTTCTTCTTTTTTTTTTGGTAATATACAGGGGGTAGAATCAGCTGTTCTCCTTACATCAGGAGGGTGATTTGAAATTGTAAAGATATTTTGAAAATTGATATATTATGTAGATTCAGAGTATGTCTTATGTGCAAAGCTGCTTTTTTTAATTGATTTGTAAACAGGAAGTAAGCACTATGTGGTATGTTTGGAACTGAATTAATGACTTTAGTGTGAGAAATTTTTTTCTGAATTTCAATCAGTGAGGTGTAGTATAAATGTGAAAAGTTAACTTAGTTCTAATAATAGTGACATTACATTTTTTTTAACCACAGAAATATATTTGATAGAAAAGCATCCTAGTGAGATATCTGAGGTTTAAAGGTAAATAATTGAGGCATACTCTGTATTGTTTAAGAGGATACTTGTTTATTTCCTGCATGTTTATGAAGTAATACCACATTTTTT